ATTCTCAGTAGTAGCACGGAGTCTGGAATTGTGCCCGGTATATGGCAATAGGCTCACCCCCTATTACATGGGACTCATAACATAAATAGTGAAAAGTGGGTGTTACATTGTACAGTGGCATAATGTACACCTCTGCCTACCCCTTCGGGGATAAAAGGCGTGATGTTATGTTATGTAATGTTATAAAAGGAGTTTTCCCAGTTAACCTGTATGTAGGTATATTTGTTTGTGCGCGATTACCTTAGGAGAGAAGACAAATTGATGAGGATTTGGGCTTAACAGTAGATTCAAGAAATGTATACTGAGACTCAAGGATTTATATTACTTTTAATCCAATTGAAAAAACAATAACACTATACTTACAACAACTACACAATCTACGTACATAAGTATATAATTATTCCACTGTCTCTCCATACAACAGCCACACCACAGATTACAATGTCCGTCCATACAAACTAAATATAGCCACAAGTTTCCAATAATCGCATTTAATGAACTCCAAAGTAAATGTAATTCGACGTGTATATTACAAATGTTTAGATAGATTCACACAACACAGACAGACTTACAAACAAACTGATATGTACCATCAACATGTCTAATCTTCCATTAAAATGTTAGTTAATTCATTCGGGTTAAGGTTTTTCACTTAAATGTTTTTAGGTGTTTAGAGATGTTGAAATTGAGATGAAGCTACAATTAACCTGTCGCGATGTCGCGCACGCTGCTCATGAAGAAGAGCCCCCGTGTGGCTCGAAACTAGTAGAGCTGTTATCAATATTTTCACATGAGCAACTTTCGATTTTTAGTTAATCTTCGTTAAGTATTAGAATGTAATCTAATGTAATGAATTCAACGTATGTTATAAATCGATTTCAAATAAAACACAGTCCTTTAACAAACTACGAATGCTACATACACAAAAAAACAAACAAAGGTACATTCAACTGCACAAAACTGAAACACGCTCCATAAGTCCATAACCTTTAATACTCTCATTGTTTTCGCTAAACCAAGTTACAGTAACTAATAATGAATTTCAACTAAAGTTGCACTCTGATGTATTTTTACTTCTTACATTGTATGGGACTGTTTAAGTCACGCACCTCACCTCTTTATTGCAATGTTTACCAAATTAAAATAAGGCTGCACTTTTTTATGCAACGCAGTGTACATTTTAAACTTCGAACCTTCTTTTATAGTAACAGTAAACATTGTGTTGTTGTTTGCGAGAGGCATGTTTGTTTGTATGTGTGTGTGTAGGTTAAAGATAATTCAATAATTTCCTTAATCGCTTTAAAAAATAGATGATACTCTGAATTAAGTTCAAGTGTGGGAGCGCCATGCTTCGGCACGAATGGGCCGGCTCGACCGGAGTGATACCACGGCCTCACAGAAAACCGACGTGAAGCAACGCTTGCGTTGTATTTCGTCGTGTGAGTGAGGTTACCGGAGGCCCAATTACCCTGCCCTTCCCCAATCTCCAAAAGGCCGGTAACGCACTTGTAACGCCTCTGGTGTTCCAGGTGTCCACGCCGATTGCTTACCATCAGGTGATCCGTCTGCTCGTTTATGCCATAAAAAAAAAGTTTTTTTAAAGCCATTTATTTAAAGGTTTTTGTTAATACTGATATGACAAATCGTTGCTAAATAGCTAAACAGCGAAACCCTGTGATTAAGTCTTTTTTTGCATACAGATCTAGTCTTCATGTCATTACTGAGAAATACCTGAATCGAAAAAAATATTTTAAACCAACCGAGACCCGATTCAATCCCTAATTTTTAAGCCACTTCTTCGACCACTCTGTCAAGGGTTAAAAGTCAAAACTACACAAAACAGCGAATTTATTACAACATGCATTAGGTCTAAGAGACCCTAGCAGGTGCAGTCGAGACCGCTGTAAAAAGTGAAAAACCATCAAACGGTATTCAATTAATAAAATTACTATGAACAAAGTAGTTTATAATTGAAGGTATGTTGATGGTGTGAGCTCACTCCGTGATTACAGCCATCAATTCACCATAATCGATGGTATTTATAAAGTTGTTTCATAGTTGGCCAAGTGGTCGCAAGTGCGACCGCAGGGTAGGGCAAAGTAATACTGGGTTTTTAAAAATTCTCAGTAGTAGCACGGAGTCTGGAGTTATGGTATATGGCAATAGGCTCACCCCCTATTACATGAGACTCATAACATAGATAGTGAACAGTGGGTGTTACATTGTATACTATACAGTGGCCTTAAGTGCAGTAATGTGCACCTCTGCCTACACCTTTGGGGGTAAAAGGCGTGATGTAATGTTTTATTTTACAAAATTAATCAAATGAACATGATAAATATCGAGTTAAGTATGCTTTTAAGTGGTTGAATAGTTCTAGAATACAGTAACGAGAAAAAATATCTAAAATAAATTATCGATGTTACACTAAAAGTCAAAGTAAAAAACAATAAATAATAATTTAAGTACTTTAAAAAAGTAGGCTTTAGTAGATGCTATCCCATCTTTTAACAACTATACACCTGCTTACCCCCTAATTGTGATAGCGTTATAATTAACGGTTATGTTGCTAATAAGGTGCAAGCCATAAATAAAGAAAAATAGTTTGATTGACGTGTGTTAAAAAAACATTTTTTTATTTTGCAAAGCCACACCAGCACTTGAAGTTATACTAAATCGATTTAAGACATTTTTAACTTTATTCCATAAGGATTTAAGGATTAAAGTCGATAATGTACCAAACACATTTTACTGCCAGGTGTAGCTTGATGAGCGTCTCAACATACAAGGCTGCAGTTTTGCGCGTGACTTCAAAAAATAATTTAAAAATAAAACCGTTTAAAATTTAAGAGCAATCTTGTTAAATTTTAAAAACTTGTTAAAACTCAATTTGTATTCTTGTTAAATAGGCCTTACAGTGTATTTATTGATAATATTTTATAGTTAAATGGTATAAAATGGTAGCGTAATTAGTCTGTTTGCAATTATATGGTAAAGACGTGGCCTGTGAACATTATTAAATACATTTAAACTTCGAAATTATTTCAAAATATTGATGGAACTACCTACTTTTTATAGCTAAACTTTAATAGCTTATTTATTTTATTAAGCCTTTGACTGCCAATAAAAACTGTTGAAGGTAAATCCTCCGCTAACGTCGGTCACAGGTGACCCCCATGGCATTTAACGTGTTATTAATTTAATGTATACCAGTTTATTTTCACGGACAAGTACTTCAATCGTAATAAAAAAAAACGTAGGTAATAAAGAAAACACTTGGCAATATAAAAATTTAAATTCCGAAAAAGGGAATCGATAATTAAGTAGTACAATTTGTAACAGTTGTTCTAAGTTCATGTTCTACTGAATAGTGTTAATTGTTCCAACTAATGACTTAAGGGTATAGTAATTAAAATATCGTTAAATTTACTAAAAAATAATAGAAAAAGTCAACATTTAACTCACCACTTGTAATTGCAACCAGCCACAAACATCTGCAAACAAAAATAACTAATTTATAATCGTTCATTTCATTAACAAAGAAAAAAAAATTTATTCATTTTAACAACATTTTAAATTTTTAACAAAAAGTTTAAAATGTCAAAAATATTTACATTGATGACTTTTGATTAAATGCACAGAGTGGTTTCACCAAACATAGCGTTTTTTAATATATTTGAGTCATTTCTGATTGTCTGTACGTGTTATTTAAATTCGTTTTTGGTAAGTAATTTATTGTTTTTACACTGAACGCTGATTACTATATTTATCTCTGTATTGCATCGAGTGTCGAGGAAATTAAGCTTTTGAAATTAATATCATAATTTCCGAACACATTAACAGTTGAACACGTATCATTTATGTTTTCAATAAAATGAATGGATTTATTTAAAAATCGAAATTGAAGTGAAATGTTAATATTTTAAATAAATGTTAAAAATTTAAAAATGACATGTCGTCAAACGTCGACAAACGTCATCCGTGTTAAAAATTAACGAGCGAGAACAACGGTTACAATTAAGGGACATTTTTTTACGCTCGGTAATAATTATTTGTCCTGTGTTTTTTCCTGCAGGGTGTGCACCGGTGGAGACAAAAAAGCTCTCACGCGTTCTCATCAACTTGGACCTTTCGATTATTCATGCGCTACGCTGTGGATGCAGTTTGATATCTCTATAGAGCTGTTAAACAACTCCATCAAAACCATTATTTTAGTCTATATACCCAAAACAAATAAAAAGGCAAAGTGATTTTAGATTTTTTAATTAAGTAATTGATTTAGTAGCTTCATGATTATTATACTTAATATTTTGAAATTGTTTTTAATCAATTTCGAGTCAATTATTATGAATGCATCATGCCATCTCACAACTCCAAAATCATATCATAAAACCAATCAAAATAAATTTATTTAAACAAAACTCATTTAAGAAATAAAAATGTCACCGTTGTGGTATTATCAGCTCCATAAACATCTGCGTAATCGAGTGACGGCTGATAGAGTCGGCTGAGATAATGACATCTGCGGTAAAAACTCGGACACTTGGTTATTTATCATCCACTGGCCTCTTTAATTATCCGTCGGGATCAGTGTGCGCCAACCTTAACGCTCAGTGTACCACCAGCCTTATAAAGCCGTCTCATCTATAGGAGGGATGATTTTTTGACATTTTCAATTTAGTTTTTTTTTTTTGTCATGTCGATTTTTGGTCTGAATGTCAACGAAGAGTTGTAATGATGTGACCAAAATTTATGATGGCTCAATCTTGTCGGTAGATGCGAAGTGTAATTAGATTTTTTGTAATATCATATACTGATGTACGATACCTATTATTTTGATGTAATAATTTACATTTTGAGGTCTGTGTAAGCAAGGGTAGATTACTTGTCAGATATCTAAGTATCATTGTAGATATTTTTATTCATCGGTTTGTTTTGTTAAACATAGAAGTAATAATTAAATTAATGTGTAATTTTGCACCAAGTTTCCAAAAAAGTTAATTTACTATGAACATGTTTTACAAATTAAACATGTATTGTGATGTACATTTTGTATTAAAACATGTAGAAATTCAGGAAACAATTATCTACATTGAACAATTTTATTAGGTTTGTAGTTCTAACAATTATTATTGTCATGTTTTAAAACGAATAAAATTACGCAAATGGAATTTTATTACCTTTTTCTACATATTACATTGATTGGCTAAGTGAATTTTAATTTATTTTACTAGGTATGACGGTGCAATTTCATAAAAACACGTGTATCTTAATTGCTATACAAAATCGAAACAAATAAATCAATCAATCGAACAATTCACATTAGAACACCAATACAAAAAGTTTAAAATATCAACAAACTAACAAAAAACAAACAATCGATAATAATCGTTACTCGATACATTTTTAATCGATATCGTTAGTTACGACACTATTAACGTGTACGATTTGAATATTTTTTTAATCACTCTATATATCAATTAACCCCAATATGAAATCGATTTGGAGAAACCGGTAGGTCAGTTTGGAACTTGGGGTACTATATCACAGTGACATGCTTGCGAGTGACTCCGATAAATCTTGCGAGGGTTAATTAAATGCCAACACAATGCTTTATAAGTGTTTAAGTATGCGTGTATGTGCGACCAGGGTTTGCGGCTGCAGGGTTGAGATGGAGCGGGGATCTTGAAAAATACTTTAATAAGTACATAGAAAATTATGCAGAAGCAAAATCAATTCTGTTGAAAATCATTACCTTTAAGTTATTTTACACTTGAAGTTCAAATTTATCCAACAACTTTCATGGATGAAATTCATACATAATATAACATAACATCACGCCTCCAGACTCCGTGCTACCACTGAATTTTTTTTTAAACCCAGTAATACTTTGCCCGTCCCGGAAATCGAACCCGAGACCTCTTGCCCAGTAGTCGCACTTGCGACCACTCGGCCAACGAGACAGTCAATGGATGAATTTAATGTTATATTATTTTAAATATTCGACAAAAGTAGTACAAAAGCAAATAAAAATACTTTAGTTCAAACAAAGTTCAAATCGGTAATGATTTATGTAATGATTCCTTGTCAAATTGTCACTAGAACAAGTAAAACTAAAAACGATATCATTCCGTAAAACAAAATACACATTATAATCCAGTTTGTAACTTGCAACTTGCACCAACCACCAACTGCCGCGCTAATACATCTAACGATTAAGATCTTAGCAGGAACTTGATACTACCCGCTTTATCCAGCGTCATCTAGCGGTAACATCGCGCCTAAGCGACAAGGGCCGGCTAGAGGATAAAAAATGCAAATACTTTAGACCCAATAGAGATATGAACGTAATTATAGGACAATTTATAGCTAAACCAGAGAGTGTGAATTATAGCAAAGATTATGTTGTTAATCTAGTCATACACTGATTACAATCCTAGATAATTCTTTCAGTAATTGGCAAGGCATTTCAACATGCATACATTCATCAATAGCCTATGAGTGGCCACTGCTAATCAAATGCCCTCTCTTCACATGGAGGAGGTTTGAGCATTAACCACCACGCTTGCTCATTGTGGATTGGCGATTTCAAACTTATAATTAGAAATTATAAGTCTAAGTTTCCTCACAATGTTTTCCTTCACCGTTTGTCAATGGTGTCTAAATAATCTTAGAAAGTACATATAACTCGGATAAAGTCATATTGGTACTGAGCGTTGGTAGGTTTCGAACCCGCAACCTCATGCAAGAGAAGCATGCGCCTTAACCAGCTATTTCAACAGCGTAGGTAAAACCCACGTCCTTAATAACTTCTGCATGAACGAGCAGCAACTAGTCAACAATCAAGTTTTCAACAATTAATATCATTCAACACAAACTAATCCGACCGCTCAAGCAAAAATTCATTTTAACTTAATAATAAGCGTTATACCTAGATAATTAATCGCATAATTAAAAACCACTACATCACTAGTTGTGCCTCAATTACAAAACACTAAATCATGTCCCACCACTAATAAACCGCAATATGCGCTCAATATACGTACCAGTTCATATTATAAATCTTAACACCATGGAGTATAGAAATTCAGAGTCGTATCTGTGTATGAAAAAGGTTCTGTTAAAATTATGATACGAGGGCGCCACTGAATCAATATGACAAGTCTAACATGGTACTTTTTTAATCCCACGTGAATATATTTCGGTCGTTTTCATGCAGAATAGATTAGTTTTAAAAGTAAGTTATTTATATGAGATCATAACCCACATCTTAGCTTCACTGCCGTAGTCTGGTAGAAAATAATAGACAGTAAATAAGTAAGTTGTAAGGTCTAAAACTCTTGCTACAGCGCTTTTTAGTAATTTAAAGATTGAAGTGTATTGAGTTACTTTGAAACCTATGTGCAGAAAATAATATCATTTCATTTCATCATTTCTTTTCAATGTATTTATTACATCTTGCTCACCACTGTTAGTCCCGGGTCGAATTGAAAGTAGTAAAGCCTTTCTTTTCTAATAGTTGCCGTGAATAAGTCGAAAAATTAAAGTACTTTTATTTTATCTGCTATCTGAGAGTAAACAACTCCATAATTCTGTACTCCATAATATTTAACGTTCGACACAGTAAATATGGCGGGAATGAACTAGCTGTGGCGTTGTCATCGAACGTATTCGCGCGAGATATCGATGCATACGATCTCTCGACCACACGTGACGTTGTTCGATAATCGAATGAATCGATTGCATTCGGAGTGACACTAGTGCGGAATTTTAAACGTCGAATTGACATTCTGAAATCGTATTTTGTTTTTTTTATTACTATATGGCTACAAATGTTCGGTTTAGTTGACAGTGATTTCATTGTTTTGATTTCGAAACGTTTTGTTTTTGTTTTATGTTTTGTAAATGGCATTATTACGTGGACAAACTAAACCACATATTTAAAAGCGATTGACGCTCAATGTTATTTATTTCCGACTCGAATAAAATCGTTTAAAGACTCTTTTCTTTATAATAATACACTATATTATATCTGTAAGTGCGCGCAACATTCCATTTCCATCACGCTGTATCATTGTGAAGCATTTTTATCTCGTATACGTTTCACAATAAGGTCAGGTTAACAAGAAATTTTATAATAGCGACATGATTAAAAGAAAGACTAACAATCATGCCTAATCAACCTATTGGGTTTCTAAAACCACATCTCACAGTCGTCAAACGGAATAGTGATGGGAAACGTACAAAAAAAATATCGATACTTTTTTCGGATATTGAAAAAGTGTTGGATAATAAAAATTGTAGGCTATCGATAAAATCGTAGGGTAAAGCGAACCGGCCACACGGAGCGTGGTCGTGTACCGGCGTTGCATGCCGGCGATTATTAAGTAGTGTACATTTCAATTGCTCGACGTGTGCTTACTATATTTATTGCACCTTTTCAATGGCTGAATAGAGATAAACACCACGTTGTGCTCAGATTAATGTTGTTTTT